AGTTCTGGGGTCCTCAGCACAGAAAGAACATGAACCTATTGGAGTCAGGAGAGAAAAGCCATGAAGATTACTAGAAGGATGGAACACCTCTCCTAAGAGGAAAGGCTGACAGAATTGGAACTGTTCAGCCTGGAGAAGAGCTCTGTGGAGACCTTAGAGCAGCTTTCCAGTACCTAAAGGTGGCCTGTAAGATAGGTTTTCTTTGAGGGGTGTTGAGATACCCCATGCCTGGAAAGATTCAAGGTCAGGTTGGTCAGGCCTCTGATGTGGAGGAAGCTGTCCCCGCTGTTTGCAGGGGTGTTGGACTTGAAGACCTTTAAATGTCTCTTCCAACCCAGGCTATTCTGTGACTCTGTGATTGAATGATTCTTGTGGCTCCCTTCCACCTCAGGATATTCTATGTTTCTGTGAGTGATTGTATGAAAACTGAAAAGAGCCTCTGGTCCTTACTTGAGCTTCAGCACCAGTGGAGGCATGCAGGATTTATACGTACAGTACATATTTGTGAAATGAGTGTAGGCCAAGTTGTTCACTATAAGAGGAATTTGGAAAGGTATTACGTATGTGTCAGACAGACCAAGTGCAGCCTCACACATGGCTGGGCTGGTTCATGTTTCAGCCTTTTGAACAGCTATCATTTGACTGGTCTGCTGATGAAAAGGTGAATTTCTCACCTACATCTTGAGAAGGACTTCAGAGGTTAAAAAGAGAAATGGCATTTTATTTCAATAGGTATCAGTCATGCACCAGAGAGCACTGGTGCTGCATCCTAAGAGCAAATAGACTTCTGTGGCTGCAGAGAGATCATCAGTGGAGGAAAGTTCTGGCAGACAACAATAATCAAAACAATGGAGTGAGGTTTAGGATGGAGCATGAGCAATCTGTGAGAAGGATGTCATATAGCTGAGATACCTGCAGCAGCTCACTCCAGCTTACCTACCTTGGAACAGGTTGTTCCCCTGAGGCATCTTAGAGCTTAATCTAAACCAATGATAGGCTGAAGTCATCATCAGCTGAAGTCAGGGGAAAGCTTCCTATTGAAATACATCACATTTGGGTCATGGATTTAGTGACCGCTTAGCATGGACTGTTCAGCTCTCCTTCAAAAAGTATAATTTCTTTCATTGTTTTCGCTATAAACAGAGAATAAAGCTGACATCTCCATTAACACCAAGAATAAACATTTTGTGGGTGATAACATTCAGCTTTATTGGAAACCCCAAGGAAGCTTTTCAGGGGGAAGAAGTAGTTTTTTGTGCTTCTGTGGTTTCTGGTAAATACAGGATCAATGAAGTGAGCTCTGATGTTTGCTTTCACACCAAATGCAGCCAGGATGTTTTTTTCAGTATTTGGCTGACTACTGTAGATTTCACCCTCATATGTTTCACCTACAAAATTGAAGTGGTCGTTTAAATCATAGTGTCTTTTGAATAGACAAAAAATTGCTATTTTGATTAATTAGAAAAATAAGAGGTATAAAAATTTATGTTCCGGAAACATCCAGTGAGAAATCGTCAATTATCTTTCTACTAATTTCATCCAGCACAGTGATTTTAGTCTTTTCCTGAAGAGCTCAAGAATATCTCTGTAGATATCCTCCAATTACAAAATTTTCTCCTTAATTAAAATCCCATATGGAAATTTCCGACCCCCCAAAACAGTACTTTTAGAAAAAAATGTCCACTTAAGACTAGAGTTTTATAATGGCAATGCCATCAAAACATCAGTGTAAACCTTGCTTCCTCACAAAATGGAACATGACTGATTGCTGGCTCTACAGGGTCCCCATCTAACCCCATCTTTCAGGAATCAGTTCACAGTTCCTTCTTAACAAACCTGGATGACAGCTTTTTTTTTCTTCCAAAATAGAAAGGTGTTACTGTGTGGGTTTTTGCATATGCTAATCATAAAGTGATTTTTAGGGAAACATAGGAAAGGCAGAGAGAGCCCTACATCACTGACTTGCATTTTTTATTTATATCAGAAATTATGTTGACTTGAGTTTTGTCTAATTTTATTGAAAGGAATTTTCAAAGAGTCAGTATTTACGTACTTAGCGCTTTTTCAGAATTAGACTCGTTTAATGTCCAGAAAAATCATTGAGCCATTAAAAACTGAACTGCAAAACTACCTCTCTCATATAAATCCCTATGCCTGAGGATATTGCTGATCTGCATTTTCAATGTAACAACACTTGGGTTTCATTCATGTCTTGTAACAAAGGAACATTAATTGAGAGGATCAAAAGCCTGCTTTCCAAAAGACATTTTTGTCACTGCTGACATGAATTTTCTCCATGTTCCTTGTTCCTGGGGCGTTAGAATATTCTGGCTAAATTAATGGCTTTGATTTTTTTTTTTTTCCACTTTGAAGAAAATATTTGCACTTTTTTTTTTTTTTTTTTTTTTTTTTTTAATAAGGCTTATCAGGTAAGGTCTAATATTAGTGTATGTAAGACTGCTTATTAGACTTCAGCTGACAGGTGTGCTTGAAAGGCACTGGCTCAAAAGACAGTTCAATTTGCTTGACCCTTCTGGCATTACTAAGCCTACTACACCTTCATTTGTGTACCAACATGGTACACAGTTTTGCTTAGTTTAATTTGAGAGACTCCTGGGCTTATGGATCATGATGTAGAAAACGTACAAATAGGAATAATCAAACAGAATTGCCTGTATGGAGACATAAAAGCCGGACCTTAGGATTGTAAGAATGCTTACTGCAATGTAACATGAAAAGGCTTTTCCTCACGTTTGTTGTTACTGGGTTCAAGTACAGGTGAGTGTATTCCTGATTTAATATTTGAGGTAAAGGCCATGCATAGCTTTCAAGCAGGTGGAATCATCAGCATTCCTCAATTCTTCTTGAGTTTCCATGCCAAATGCTGCTAGGGAGTTAATGGATGGAGTCCCAGTTACCTAATACTCACTGATGAACTGGTGAGGTGGGAATTTCTAGTCCCATGGGGTGACAGGGTAGGAGAGGTGCTTGTTGTTCCCCTGGCTCCTGTTACTGGCCACACAGTGTGTATCCATGTTATACTGGACCAAAATTCCTCCCTCTGCTTTAACCCCCACACTCCTGGACACCCCTTCTGCATAGGAATGACCAAATAACTTAGGTTTGCATTCTGCATTCTGTAAGTCATTCCTCTTCTTTCGCTCTTACTTGATGGCATAGGTAATGAAACACAAGATTAAGACAAGATTTTGTCTTAAAGACAGTTTAAGACAAAATAAGTTGAGGAATTATTTTAAAAACTGAAGACTCCCAGCCATAAAGGGGAATCCAAGGCTCTTCCCAGCAGGTAGGGATCCTTGCCAGCTCCTTATACATCAGTGAAAGTGTGTCCTGCTAATGTAGGCCAATCTTAGAGCTTATCCTTTCTCTCCCAGCTGTCAGGATTTCCTAAATAACTTTCTGCATAATCCAGCCACAAGTATCAAGGAGAGAAGGGTCATGAGTCATCCAGGCTATAAGAGAGGTACGAGGTTTATGACCTTCTTTGAAGGTTTCCTGTGCTTGCTCTTGTTTTCTTTCATTTCTCTCCCCATTTGTTTTGTGACTTTCCCCACATAAGCTCCATTTCTTCTCCCAGAAAACTCATTAGGTGTTTATCATCCATTCCAGTCGGACCAGGAATAAACTGGAATTGCAAAGTTGTTCACTTCAACCTGCCCTTGCCAAGCTGATCCTGCCAAGTGTTAGCTTAATTTTTTAACAAGAAAAACATAAGTAAATATATTTGAATAAAAACTGAACTGATTTGTTTAGCCAGAGGGAAATGGTTCATTTGGAGGCATCTCTTGGGAAGGCAAATAATTGAAAAGTTGGATTTTAAAATCATGGGTAAAGATACTGATGGTTCCTGGATTTAATCCAGAAATTCATTATTTAAGGTACACCAGGGTATAGGAGACCCAGGTTCAGCTTTCTCAGCTTAGTGTGATAACTTGAGGCCGTGCCTCTGTCTTTCCAAGGGAGAGCCTGACTTGCTACACGCTTCTAGGGAGCCCTACAGAAGGAGTGCCCTCCTCTCAGACTCTCACATTCATTTTGTTTGGCTCCATATAAATGGTCATTTGTTACAGCAAGCTCAGAAAATAGGGATATCCTGTCTGGATATCCTGTCTGGATCCTACTCAGGCTGACCATCATGCTAGAGAAAATCTATTTCTGCTTCAATAACTATTCAGCTGCTTTATGTAGAACAGTTAGATCAGGACAGTTTGAGAGAATCATTTATCCACCCTGTGCTGCAACTTATTCAATACTGCCTTAGGAAAGATCAGTGTCTTCTAGGAGAGAGCCTGGTATTTCCCCCACAAGCTTGGGTTTGGATTACCCAGCAGCTTCAGATGAGCATAGCTGTGCTCCAGCCACACAACCAAACCCTGCAGCAGGAGCTTACTTCAGTGCTTGTGGGTTGTGTGCTGGGAGAGAAAAAGGCTGAGCAGCCTTCTCATGTTGCATCTAGTATGTGGTGTGTCTCTAGCAAGGTTCAGTAACACCTTATATTTGTCATTGTTTCTCAATAATTTCTATAAATGGCTTTTAACCCTGAGTACGAGTCCTATTCTGATCAAGGTGGGTGTGCAGTTCTCTGTTCTTCGTGCATTATGTGCCCTTATTCAGTTTGGAGAGACTACAGGAGAAGAAATATTTTCTCTAAGACTTCAATACAAAGGGAAACAAATGCAAATAGCAGAAATGGGGAAGGCTGTGTCTATATTATTGTCCTTTGCTAAATGCTACTCATGCTAAATGCTACAGCTTTTACAGCCTGGGCTGTAAAGCTTCAGTGAGGACAGTCCTTAATAGATTTTGTGTCAGAATCTGACTGCTGAATTATCCTGTAAGTGCCTCTCACCTTTCACTGAAATGTGGTCAAATAAATTACTTTTTGGCAGCAGGTATGGGAAGTCACTGCCTGGTTCTCACTCTCAGGCAAGCAGTTGATTTGCTTTCCTTTATTCTGTTTATTTTATGTCCTTTTGCAGGGAAGGCTGCTTGTCCCCCATCAGCCCAGAGTCATGGCCCCTCGTGCAGTCTTTCATATGCCACAACCGCATGCTCATCCTGGATGGCCACGTGCAGCTGAAGACGAGTCTGCAGACCCAGGAGCGACACCTTTTCCTCTTCACAGACCTTCTGGTTGTTGCCAAGTCCAAGTGAGTAAGACCCCTCAGGCACTGATCCTGCAGAGCAGACCTTTTCTTCAGTGGAACATAGCATGGATTTCCAGAATGCTTTTATAGTAGCAAATCTTCCCTGAATCATAAGGAAACATTTTATTTTGACCTCTTCAGGGACCTTTGAACGCCTCTTAGCCATAGAGGAATTTCAGGATGCAACATTTTATGGAAGTATCAGATATTCTTTGATATATTTCTTCTTTTCTGTCGTCTTCTCTACTTTGGGAGTGCAGTGTCACAAAAGACTCATTGGCACTCAGCTGTGTCCAATGTGCTACCTTCAACTTCTTGTTTTAGACAGGTCATCTTTAGTCCTGTGGGGTTTGGATAACATCAGTGGTTGTGTTGTAGAGGGATTAGAGGTTTTAACCTTTACCTGGAAGCTGCTTTGATACACACCAGGGATGAGCAGCTGTATAAAAATAGAGATTGCAGGCAGCACTGCAGTGTCTGTCTCTGTAGGTTGTCCTGTGCCAGAAGGAGCATGGGGAAGGGGAGCCATGCTGAGCAGTCTGGGTAGTGTTCATGTGTAATCAGGCTTGCTGTTGAGCTCTGATTATTCACTCTACCATTCACAATTAAATCACATTTACAAGTTGTGTCGAGCATGCCAGCTTCATGCGGCATTTGTGGTTTAAGGCAGTTTTAGAGGGTGCTTTCACTTGTTGTTATGGCTTATGGAGAATTAATAATAAAAAATCCTGATGTAGCTTCACTCTCTGTTAGGCACTGTGTTGTGGTTTCGCAGGGTGGGCAGTCTCAATGTGAATCCTGGGCTTTTGCAATGTGTCGTTTTGCTTAAGCAATTGTTTCAGGGGCTTCTGGGAAAAGCCAAAAGAAATCTGTGTTGTCTATAGAAATCCGAGCTGTGTCTGTTTGAATCACACATAGTAAACATAAGCCCCCCAGCTGAACTCCCTCACTTGATGTGGTGTGACAACACAGAGGATATTTTACACAAAACGTGTTCCACTATGGGTGGGTGGAGAACATAAGGATGTTTAGGGGAAATCTTGGTGTTCTACCAGCACCAGCAGTAACAGCATTGCTACTGTATTGATTTTTGTTTGTTGCTGGTTTAGGGTGGGATTCACCTCACCTAATTTCAGCTGTAAAGTGAAATACTTGCAATTTACATATGTTTCTGGGTTCCTCTTACAGTCACTGAGGCAAAACCAGCTCCTTACTGTGGCAAACTCACCTGTGCTGAAAGAGCATTGGTGGTGGGTGAGGGGAGTCATGCTCTTGGGTGTCTCTCTCTGTCCGCTGGCTTTTCAGTGGGCATGGTCCACTAGCTTAGCTCCTTAATTGTAGAAGAGTACAGTCAGGAGGGATAAAGGCCCTCTCCGTGGTCAGCCTGCTGAGCACAAGCTGTGTTAGAGCCCCTGAGCTGCACGTTACTGCAGGTTTGGCTGGGTCCCAGTGGGACTATTTGCATAGGAAAGCGCTAGTTGGTGTAACCGCACAAAAATCTGGTCCCCAGGGAGTAATAACAGCTCCTACAGCATGTGATTTAATGTGGTGAAGAGAAACAATGTTAAAAAAGGTGGAAGAGAACAATTTGTGCTCTTGCATGTGAAAAAAGGGGGGGAGCAAGTCTTTTCTAGAAATGGCAAAAATAGTATTTTGAGTGATTTTACTTCATGTATTTTGAAGAACTAATTGGGATGTTCTCTCTGCAGCTGCCCTGTCAGCAATTAAAGCATCAGAGCTGTCACTAATGAATACTACTTAAAAATCAGCATTTTTAAAGCTGTCTCGCACTAAAATGCCAATGCTGATTCCTAGAAGGAAAACCCAAGTGTGTGTATTGCTATGTGGCCGTGACTGTTGATTGCTATTGACTTTTTAATAGCTGGTACAGAGTCAAAGCAGTAAGACTAGGACAGAATTAGTGATACAGTTGAATCTGCCTTAACTTCAGAATTATTCCTTGTGAATAATTCTGTCTGAAGTAGTTTTTCAGCTTGGAGCATATGAACCCCTAAGGTATCTTCAGTCCAGCTGGGCCCTGTGCAGGTGGGATCTCAGCTGCAGGTGACCAGCCACTGTACAAATGGAGCTCATGTACAATCAGGCTTTGTGTGACCAGCAAATGGGTACAAGTTTTTGCTAAAGAGAGCAAGTATCTTGTGTCCTCTGAGCTTGCTGAGTAAACTGCTTGTACAGGACCAAGCTCCTGCTTAAAGGGAACAAATTGGCATTGCTCCCATAGGAATTTGTGAAGGGTGAGTAAGTCCTCTCCATAACTGGTCCATGTATGACTTTGGACAAGGGGTCTGTGGGTTCATATTTTTTCTGCTTTTTAATAATACCTGAAATATAAACTCCTCTGGTTTCCTATGATGCATTATACTAGTTTATGAAAAATAAGAATGGTACTCACATGCTGTGCTCCTCTGCTGCCCTGTCCTTCACTGCCTTCATGTGAGGGCTAAGTCACAAATGAATTTATTGAAAGAGTTTTTCTATCTAAACTAAAGCCAAGTACGTAAATGTCATACTCTTTTTTATGGATTGATTAGATTTCTTACAGACATGTATGCTTTTATTTGGCAGAGTAAATATTTCAAGGGTCTGTTAGTTCAGTGATGAAGGTGTCTCACATATGTTTTTGTGTGGTAGACACAGAGAAATTGTTTCCTTTTTCTCCTTTGTGATTTGCACCTGCATACATATATGTGCATTTTAAGGGTATTTTCCTGAAGTGGCTGGACATAGAAATTAATGGCTGAATTCATACATGGAATTACATCAGCAGTCTCACAGTAGATCCATAAATGCTTTTGTCAGAGAATTCAGTTAAGGAGATTAGCAAATCTGGAGAGAAATTAATCTCCCATCTGTTATCGGCTGCAAGGTATCCAATTGTAAGCAAAAGGAACTGTGTGTACTCTGCAGAGGTGGCATAACTTGGGGTGTGCCAGTATTTACAGCGGTGGTCTTCATGATTTTTCTGTTGATTTTAGTTGATTTGGAATCTGCCTGATATTCACAGTAACATTTGTTAGGAGACTTCCTTAAAAAGTATACAATACTCATTGGATTGTTACTGTACCCATTTTTTAAATGTTCTGTCATGCTGCTTCCTTAGTCAACAATATATTCATTTCTAAAGGTAATGCTTTGGCATTTAAATAGAAGACACATGTTTCACAAATGCTAAGAAGCCATGGGTTGCATAAAGGACATGGCAGATAGGGATAAAATTATACTTCAGGCTCTTCAGATGTTAATGGAGGCTACTGTTTCAGCACCTCTGGAAACCAGGCCACTTGAATTCTGATAATAGCTGAAAGCTGTGACTAGGCATGGCAAACAGGGAAGAATATACATCAAGCATGACTGGAGAACATCCTTGTGTTTCTGCCAACACCCTGCTGACACCTGCTACTGGCACTGTTGAGATCTGGCTTTATGGACTGTAAATATTAAAAAATGAAACAGCATGTAGAGTGTTCCATGTACTGGGTAATGGCAAAAAGAAGTTGAGGAGAAAGAGAGGGTCAGCAGGTTGATTTGGTGGAGTCAGACCAGACATCCATTTATTAACATCTACATTAGAATTCACAGCTGTATTTTTTTGTAAATCTACGTTTTCACAATTCATTCAATGGTCAGTCAGAATACATTTATTTTTGCATTCTTGACTGATCTTACCTGTTGCATCATAAACTCATTTGCTAACAAGCATGTTGAAATATGCTTCTGTTCTAAAAATTTCTCTTTAATTGGGTAGCAAAATGTAATAAAGAGAGGTGAAATGTTCAGCAGATCAGGAGACACCATAGCCTTAGGTTTGATAAGTACTGATGGTTCTTTCTTGACCTTCCTCTGAATGTGCTGCACTATCCCACCACACCTGTAGCACAACTGGAAAACTCAGAGCAGCCAGGTTCATCTGTGTCCTCTTTAAAGCCACAAGGGTCAAGTGCTTTCGTGTTTCAGACTGTGTTAGTTCAGTCTGTCCCAAATCAAATACCTTGTAAGAGGCTAATCTCAGAGAAGGGAGTGCATGTGTGCCAAAGCCCTAAGAAACTGCTCACCTGGCTTATTTATTTATAGAGCACTAATCACCATGGTGCCCAGCTCTGTCTCCATCCACATTTGCAACACAGTGGTGAGCTGATGTGCTCTTGGTTTCAGGGAAGGGACACTTCTCCTCCAGCCTTTCCCTGCTGGCCCAGGAGAACCATAGCTCAGGTAATTCTGCAAGGCTTGAAGTGAGTGGCTCTAGCAGTGCTGCAGAGCTGGATTGACTTTGGGAGTTTTTACTTGTTTCTCACAAAGCACTAGCACGCACTCACAAAGGAAGGGAAAGACATTTATAAAGAGAAATCTGTTGGAAGAAAAGAGTTTAAGTTAAAATGTGAAATTCTGTAAATTTGACCTTTAGTCAGTTGTTTAGTAGCATAAAACATAGGAAGGGCCAAGTTTTTAAAAATTGGGAAAATTATGCCTCTTCCTTGTGGATGAGTAAATATTTTGAGAATGCGCAAGGTCTTGGCTCATTCTCCAAGTGATGTGTTCCTAAAGCTACCATGCAGAAAATTTGTGAAGGCTGTGTGGTGACCTGTGCTGTAGTTAACACAAATAGCAATTTTTTTCTGCTTGTTTTTTCTTCAGGTTTGCTTCATTTGCCCTGACCTAGTTGTCACTACTTAAACTCATCATCATTTTTGACCCTGGGACTAAGCAGTAGAACTGTATTGTGAACTCCTTAATGGTATTAAAGTCACTGAAAGGGGAGTCAAATACAAGTGGCAACCTTTGCCTCATAGCAAGACTTGGAGGGCAGCTCTAGACATGGACAGCTTTCCCCCGAGAAGGGGGATGTCCAGGGATGCCAGAAGCGATCTGTTTATCCCACAAATAAGAGATTTGTTGATCCCATTTAAGTGAAAAATTGGTATATTTTTATATGCAACCCAATAAAACATTTTCTTTAACTGAAGCAGAAGTGCTTCTTCTATCAGCTCCAGTACAAACCTCATATGTGCCTGAAGGACAAAAAACTCTGGTTGTTTAATCTGCTGTCTGTGTTTTCATGTGTGTGACACTCCTGTGAATTTCCACCTGCAGGTCACACTCTCATTTCAAACTGAAGTGCCAAGCACGTCTCTGTGAGATGTGGACAGCATTTTGTACGGAAGAAGTGTGTGAAGGCAGCACAGACCCAGACCGGTCCTTTGTTTTGGGCTGGCCCACCACAAACTGTGTGGCAAACTTCAGGTAAGAATTGAGATATATTTTATTTAATAAGTTATGTAAATGTTTCTAGGCTGACAGGTCATGAGACTATCACAGATTCATTTAATCACCAGTGAATGTGGGAGCAGGAACTTGCTGATTCTCAAACCAATTCCTTCTACTTCCCTGAGCAAGTTGCCCTCCATTACCTCCTCTTCCATCTCACTTATCATTTCAAAAATTGAGAAAATAGATGATTTGGCAAAGCACTTTGTATGCTGCAAACTTGCTTAGTGGAAATTACCTTTTCTTTGGTATAACTCGGCAAACACCTTGGCTAATTAATAAGATGAGCTACAAATATTAAACAGCCAAGCTAATGAAAGGATCAAAGACACTCTTGTAAGACAGTTTTAAACTGAAGGCCGTGTATTGGAAGTAGCAGAAAAATTATAGTGAAATAATGACCTTTGTCCTATTTCTCTTCTTTTTATTTAATTGTGCCAGAGAAAATGTCAAAATTCCTCTTAAAGCAGAATCTCTGAATTTTAATATCAAGAAAAAAAATTTGGCTGTCTTTGCAGCATTGGCTGTAAGACACATAAGGGCTGTAGAGGTAATTTCAGTGATTAGGATAATTTTAGTCTCAGCAGGAGGGCTCTTTCGTCACTTTGGATGAGGGAGGGCACCATCCCCCTGAAATCCCAGCTGCTTTGCCTGAGCCTTAGGAATCGCATTTCCTTCTTTATCAACAGAGAGCAAAAGCTGAAGTATCTGGCTTAATTTCTATGTCCCATTGTCCATACCTAAGGACAATGTTGTCTACAAATTGCAGTCTCCTGAGCTGGTTCAGCTGTTTATGTTTTTTGCACATAATAGTCCTCAAACAGATTAAATTTTCTGTTGATTTTCAATTGAAATCTTGCCAGAATTTCAGGAGCTTTGCTCTAAAGACAGTATGTGATCCTTTATAGATAACTGAAAGTAGTTGAATAGGAAAGCAATAGCTTCAGTCAAAAACAGCTAGAGATTTTACAGAAGTGAAATTATTTGATGTCTGGAGGTACACAGAAAAATCTAAAGAGCCATGTGTGAGTGCACAGATGTCTGTCCAGCAGAGCTGAAACAACCAAATCAGAATCATGTTTTTACCATTTATAAAGTGCATTTCCCTCACAGCATCATTGAGTATGTTTGTAGTTCTCTAAATGCCTGCTGTGTAAATTTGAAAAACTTGATTTGCAAAAGCAGTGGTGGGAATAGCAGTTACATCTGGGCTAGGATTTAAATCAAGTTCAAGCAAAATGAGGTTAGATTCCTTGAACTGTCATATTATTATCTATATTGTACTGGACTGCTTTTTATCCTTCCAAGTATACACATGAGATAAAGATAAATGAGATAAGCCTCAAAATGTCCAAAGTTAAACCCTACTAAGTACAGTGGGCTTTTATGTACTTTGTGATGTGCTGATAAAACAAGTAATAAATAAGAATTTGAGTGGAAAGAAATCTGCGTACCTGAGGAAATACCTTTAAACTTTTGAATTAAGCTTTTTTTTTTTAAAGTGCCCTACTCTTCTATTTGGACATTACTTTAGGAGATCAACACATTTCCTACAAAATTCAGTGGTGAAGCTTTACCTTCTGTGGCAAAAATGGTAACTGGGGCTTTTGATCTCCCTGGCAGGCTTTTCAGTTGACTTTGCGGGGAAAAAGACTTTTCATTCAAATCTGGATAAACCTTTTAAGTTTTGGAGGTATTTATGAAATTGCAACTAAAAAACGGTCCATTCCATTATGGTTTGTAGAAGGTTTGTTTTGGTATTAGGATGATGGCTGATTTGTCCTGTTTTTCCTTCAATTCTTTCAGGTCTGCAGAACAAAAGGAAACATGGCTGTCTGTTTTGCAAAGGTACTTTATTATATGGTCTTTAAAGACACTGGAAAGAGTCCTGGTCTAGACCAGTGATTCCCAAGCTGTGGTGCTTATGCCATCATGATAGATAAGGTCTTTCAAATATTAGGGAAAAAAAAAAACTCATGTCTTCTCTCTCAGAAGATGTTGTTTGCTTTATGCAACAATGCCTGTGCAAGGAGGCAATTGCTTCTCTGTGCTCAGCAGAAAACTGCAGCAATTCCTATCACACATTGTTCCTTCCCAACACAGCAGCAGGAGCCTCTGCCACCGTGGCTCAAGTTGAGCCTGGAGCTCTTTCCATGGTGGTGGCGTTCAAGCAAGCCCAGCTCAGAAACCTCTGCTCTAACCTGTCTGCTGCTCAAGGCTGGCTGTATTCTGTTCTGAAAAACCATGCCCCATGCTGGAGGGTGAAGTGAAGGGTTTGCATAAATAGAGCTGTCTTATTTTGTTCGGTGTTTGGACAGAAAACTACTAGCGATGGTTCTGTTTTCTGATTGCCCAGTTCTTCTGGTTGAGGCTTTTGTCTTTACCTGATTCTTCACAGTACCTGGGTTGTTTAAATCATCCTTGCTGGGATGATTTCCAGTTCTCTGTTCTCCTGTTGTGTCCTTTGAACTAGTCTCTACTGATGGAACTGATTCCAGTAGGAGTCTGTAGTGCAGACTCAGGCATCACAGTGATGGCTAGTTTTAGCTTGATTTTCTTTCCATTTCTTTCTTTGCTTCTTACTCTGATTTCTGCAATGAACTTCAGTGCAAGAGGGCATTACTGGGGGCCACAGTCAGCCTCCCTTCCAGATACTGCTGGATGCTTTCTTGTCCTCAGAGATCTTTCTACTGCAGTACATCTGCAAACGATCTCCTTCTTACCGAGTTACTGCTTGATTGCTGTATAAATCTATGTCTTGCTATTTATGTGTGCAATATTAAAAATTTACTTGTTTTGTATTTGTTTTGTCAGTCGGATAAGAGAAGAGAAGGAAAAAGACAATCCTAAAAGCATTCGTCTGACGATAATTGCAAAGGACGTGGGAACTTGTGCATATGTAAGTGTTCTTCAGCTAAACAGGGCTCTAAATCCACATCACCTGTGAGTGCTATTCACCTGCAAATCCTTTGGATATTGAGAGGTTTCCTTTGGTTTGCAATCTCCTTTAAGGATTCAGCCCCTTGAAAAGTCTTGGTATAGACAGCCCTGAAAGGTTTGTTGCCTGTCTTTAATACAAAATTTCTGTTTCAAGGGCAGTGTGCTTGGTAAGAAATACTGGTTCTGGCACATGAACTAAAGACTGTACAATGTGAAGTCCCAGGAAACACCTCCAGTAGAATTTATGCATAAGCATCTTCAGAAATGTCAGTACAATGTTCCCTTTTTTTTTGCTTGTAAAACTTATCTAATTCCAAAGCAGCCTTCATTAAATTCTGCAAAGTTGCAGTTGTTTTATTGTTTATAATAATCTTAAGTCAGTAAATCAGTGTATAAGAGCACCCTGAAATTGTCTTAAGCATGTTAATCATCAAATAATTGATGTTGGTTAATTTATAGGCAAAGACTAGATGGTAAAGGAAGGCCATCCATACCATGATTTATACCTTTTTGACTATATCATTTTTAACCTATTTAAGCTAAATTCTTGTATGTAGCCAGTTCCATAGAGATACCCTAGCATTCAGTGATAATCCATCCATTCTTCCTCTGCTTTTTGTCATTTCTTCTAACTGTGCTTATGGCATCTGTATTTCAAGCTCAGAATCCTAAGGAGCACGGGCAAGGGCATAAGATATTTTCACAGAAGTTAGATTTCACTGTAAGTCTTTGCCCAATAATGATTCTCCACTTAGAATTCTATATTTGCATAAATATAAAGGAATCTTTTTCTTTTTTTTTTCCCCCCAGAAAATCATTATTAAGGTAAACAAAGACAGAATTGCCAGGTTGCTAAGACAAAAGTTAATAAGCAGTACTAATAATTGTGACAGTCTAAATCCAGGACTGCAGATCAAGGTCTGCTCAGGTGTAAAAGTCTATAAATCATACATGCACTCAGGTGTTGCAGTCTTGTGCCAGGGTTTGTTGGGGTTTTCTGCAGTGTCTTTTCTCCTTAGCTATAATTAGCTCTTGTGCCATATATGGTCTCTTGATACTGACAGTCCAAGGAATGACACTCTGTAGTCCAGATATTATCAGTAATAAAACAGTAGAGGAACAGATGGAAATTTTGTGATGCACATAGTTCTTATGGTGCTGTGGTTCCTGTGCTACAGCTGCTGGAGACACCCAAGAATTATTTCATTTTTGGACAGTAGGGAAGGCTGAACACAAGGTACAAACTATATTCTAGCCAAGAGCAAAACTTATGCAAATATGCTGACCTACTCCTGAGAGCCAGATGTCATTGCTTCAGGCAAACGTTAAATTTTTTATGGTATGAGCGTTCAGATCTGTCCTGAAGCAAGATGCACAGTATTCTCACTACTTTCCTTTCATTGCCATGGCAGCTTGATACTGCCAGGGTCTTACACAAAGGTACAGCTCAGATCTTTTTTAAATGCGAAATGTCAGGGGTTTGTTTCACCTGAACATCTTATGGCCAGTATAAAACTGACATGCTACACAAGGTGTCAGGGTATTGCAGACTGTCTTGGGACTGGCAGTGAACATCTACATCCCAGCTCTGCTGTCTTCTGTTCTTTAAGGTGGGCCTGGGTGGTTTGTTGCAGTGGGCTTGCCATGGTTCTGCCAAGGCTTTAGTCTGGCCATGAAGCAGCTGCAATCCACAAGCTGTGTAGTCGTGGTGGCAGAGCCAAGCCAGCCTCTAACAGGGGCTCTGTGACCTGTGCTTGGTGTGTGGGAGTTGGCTGGGAAGCCAGGCCAGCGTGGGCGTGTGCTGCAAGCATTGGAGCTACCCATGGAGCTGAGGTACAGAGCACTGCCCAGCAGGACAGGAGCCCGCCTGCCAGGCAGCAGGTGCTGCATCTCCCTCTGGAAAGACAGCTGTGGAAAGTGGCACTTTGGCTGACACAAAGCTTGGCACTTTGTGCTGGTCGCCATAGCTGGTTACAAAGTGGGGTCTCTGCTGCTCTGTGCTTTTCCAAACTGCCTATCAGCAGATTCTGGAGGATGCTGGAAAGGTTGTGTTTGAACTGGATGGAACATTACCAAGAGGAAGTGCTTCTGGTACTAAGCCAAATCTAGCTTTGAGAAATCTATATAGAATGTGGGAAAGGTTATGGGGATGAGCAGCCTGTGTACAATACTTTCTTACCATGGAGATCTTCAGTTGAAAAGGACAGAAATTAACAATTGATGTTTCACTGAAAAAAACCACCCTGAAATGTTTCATTTTTTAAAGGAAACTTCCATGCTTTTAAATTAATCAAACCATTGTTTCCCTTATGCAGTGTCTAAAAGTGCAGTTAGTGGTTCTGACTTCCTGCACATTTTAATGTGGAAGTCATGTCCCAGTAATTGTAATACTCTCTTCTGACTGAGCTGTTGGGGAAGCAGGAAGCAAATACGGAAAGTATGTGGCAAAGCAGAGGAATCAAACCTTGGTCTCAGACAGCTGGACCTTTATCTATGTAGTATAGTTTATTTATCAAGTAAAATTTTAACAGGATATTCTCATTTTTTCTAACAATGAATTTTGTAGAGCTACTGCACTTCAGATACTCTTTGCAAATCCAAACTTTTAATGCGACTTTCCCCTTCTCTTTTTTTCTGTTCACAGTCAAAAACCCTAAGTGTAACCAATGTTGATACAGCAAATGATGTAATTCTGATGGCCCTGCAGCAGCTGGGAATTAATGTAAGTCCTTGCACCAGTTTTAATGAGTCTTTCTTTGTAGTTACTTTTAACAACCAGATCTTCCCTTGCACTTTTTCCAAGTTTTAGGATATGAACATTAATTAAATCCTTTAACATAGCAGTCCAGAGTTGTTGAAATGCAGCAGAAGTGCCTTGTTAACATATAGACCTCCAGAGATTATCAAGTGCCTTAAAAGTTTTGAGTAAGCCTCTCATCCCTGTAAGGGATCAGTCATGTTTCAAGTTTCTTTTAAATCTCTTTTGCTGATGCCTAAGAGGAGATATGTTGACACAAGAAGTGAGAGTTTGATAGAGCTCCTTTTGCATGCTTCATTGTGAACAAGAAGCCTACTGGTCTGCCTGTTAGTTTGTTTCAAAGTGTGCAGACACGCATGGTCAGCTGTGTCCCCAGATTGCACTGCTCTCAAGTGTCCCAGTCAGGTACTCTTAAGTATCCATGGACCTTTGGAGTTATGTGATACAGTAATGTAACTAAGTGGTTGCATGGAATCTGAATGCTCCCAATTTAAACAGTGTCCTGAAACCGTTTTGGAAAAAGGCTTTTACAGAACTTATGATAATGCAGATAGATGCAGTGATCCCTCCTAGATCAAGTACTGCATCAACTGGATTCCTTTGCCCTAAACCAGACTAGGTAGTGCCTCAGGTGTGGTAGAGGATCAGTGCCAGGGACAAGAATTCTGGCTTCTCACTGTGTTTCACAGTGTGGCTCCAACCAGTACCACTGATCATACAGAAGCTCCTGGATGACAGCTTTTTAACTGGTCTGTCAGCTTGCTGTTTGGGTAACAGGATTTTTTTTAAATGTTTTACTCATGATGCATATGTGGATCTCATTGCGTGGAATCTGACAAGTCTTTCCTTACCACAGCCCTGAGTGTGAAGAGTCAAATATGATGAGCAAAGTGCCACTGTTATGCTTCCCTGGGGCTTCTGGAGACTCACAGCAAAAGTTGGAGTAACCTCAGAATTTGCCTTCCCCAGCATCCATTATCCCTAATTTACACAGGCTTTTAATGCAGAGTCTGTTCTGCTAGCTTGGCATTTCCCAGGCACAGCAATTTGTGTCTACCCATCTTGTTATTGCTCAGACATTTCATTTACACCAGGGCTGAGGCCCTGGCTCAGAATCCAGTAGTCCATTTAATTAAGGAATCTCTGGAGTCAATGGAGGGATTGCAAGGTGAAAAGGATAAAAGGTGAATTAATATTAGGATTTTAATTGCAGATTGTCTCCCCTGCTCTGCACCAAAAATCAGGAGACTAAATGCTATTAAAACTGCAAGTCTTTATTGTGAGGTGCTTCATTTTTACCCATTTTATGGGTGTCATTTTTACTTCCTCACTTTGTGTACAGAAAAAACATGAAAATGGTAATATTTAAAGAGAATACTTTGAGATTAGCAGGACAAGGAGCTGGTTGGGTTTCAGCATTGTGTTCTTTTGTATGTACCACAATCAACCTTTTCCTCCTCTTTACATTTTTATTTCAAGTAGAAAAAGAATGAAAGCCATATGAAGGATGTAAAATCTTGCCTGCAGAATTATTTGCCCAGCTAATGTACTACATTTTTTTACTGCTTCTTTATAGCAGAAAGCCTTTTTTGTCATTAGAAGCGTATCATAAGATTAGCAATAAAATCAAACAAGCTAAATAAATTAAGCTGTAGCCTGCATAACAATCAAACACCCAGCCCCCTGGTAGGATTGTTCTGGCTGTAAGGAAGCTCTGCCTTACATGCTGTATCAAGGTTTTTTATTTCTGTCCACAGAGAACCACTTGAAAGGAGCTCCATGACTTTTCAATGGCACTTATAAAAACTACATTTCACATATTGTGTGATTAATGGGGCTATTACTTTGGCTGAGTTCACTCTGGTTTAACACATCAGGATTTTTTCCTCTGTGGTTTCTCTGGTAAAATGACAGCTAGCTCGTGCAAAATGACATTGATCATCTGTTCCAAATTATCAAGTGGGGCAGAGGGAAGGGCCTTGGGTTTCCCAGCTTTGTAAGTACACTTGCTGACTTTTCTGGGACAGTCACATTTATCCTGACAAATGGCCTCATAAAGCCATAAAGGACAGCATTTGCAGTCAGAGATGAGCAGTCTGCCTCCTGGAACCACACTTACTGGCCCTTCCTTTCCCTGCTTCCCCTTCACAGCAACGAACCCTTTCATATATGTCTGTGAAAGGAAAAGCAAATACCCTTTCTTGTGCTCTTCAGCTGTATTTATTTGCTCCTGGCTGCTTGCCCTGAGGCATCAGAGATGTCTCCAAAGCCTATTTATTTTTCTTCTGCCCCCTGCTAGCTGACTTAACAGCAGTGCTAATGTGGGCCAGAAAGCTCTGTCAGTCAGAGAGCAAACTGCAAAGGCTTTGTTGGGTGTATCAGCATTACATCAGGTGCATGCAGCAAGTAGGAAGAGTCTCAAAAGCCTTAGGAACACTGGGTGAAGGTCCAGATAATGCAGAATGGTAGGCAAGTCTGTTTAAAAGGAGGTAGGAATTAACTTTGGATCTAAGTCAATGCTGTCATGAGGTATTTATCACTTTTTATAGCCAGAAAACTTTAAGGTTTTTAACTATCCTGATTTAGTAGTGTCACCAAAAAGGGATTTAAGGTAAAATAGATCACTTTTAATGCAGTGTATTTATCCACTTTTTATTTTGTACATTTATGCTAAAGGCAATATTTAGAATTCACTTTAATTTTATTTGATTTAAATCAGAGGTTTTCACAGCTTTTCCCAAAAATTTCACATTCCCCAGTCTTTTGAAAATTGTCTCTTTTGATGTAAATTTATCCTCTCTGCTGTACACTTTAAAAGAGGTCTCAGTAGTCTTAAGACATCATCCAGCAGTCCCAAGCCCTTCCACACGTAAGGGCTGCACAAAAAGGCTGACAGCAGCCCTACAACAAGATTTTGGGGCAGCACTGAGTGCCCGGAGCCTGGGGCTGCCATCCTTGCCTCAGCATCTTTAGGGTGGGCTCAGGTCTCAGGTGAAGGTGCTCCTGCCCTGTGCTCCAGTGTCAGTCACAGGTCGCTGTTGGCTCCCCAGCCTGAGCTCCTCTTGCTTAGAGATGTAGGAAAGCTGTGGAGAGGGTGGAGCAGAGCAGTGCAGTGGGCTCTGACATCCATCCCTCTGCTGCCAGGAGGCACTCCAGTCTGAGGGAAAGAACTGGGGGCAAATCTCCCCCTTTTTCTTCAGAAATGATGGGCTCCAAAACCTCTTATTGCTCAGAGCTGAACCCAGGTCACATAAATCACACTGCACATGACAGACACACTGCAGGAATTTTGCTGGTTGAAGTCTTGTGCACTACAAAAGTAAAGGGGATTCCTTTGACCCTGCTGGCAAGGTGCAGATTATTGTTATATTGTGAGAAACTTTATGTGAGAACCTGTCCTTCATGGCTGATTCTTAATTTTGGTTTTAAAGGGCTCTGAAAAAGACTACAAGCTGTGGGTGATTTCAGGAAGAGAACATGCTCCTTACCCTCTTATTGGTAAGTTGTTGACGTTGTTTTGTTTTTCAATATTCACTCAGTTACTACTGCTGTAGGAAGCAAGAAATAGAGAGAAGACTGAAGTTCAGTTTCCTCTTTCATTTTGTTTTTCCTGTTTTTTCTCTTACTTCCCTATCACATGAGTTTTCCTATCTGGGGAGTTAGGGAAATGGTGATCCTTTGTTTTGAAGAGCAGCTGTCTGCTTGTGTCACTAAGAGGTTGAAGAAGTTCATTTATTTCTGCCCCAGTTTTGCTGCATGAGCCCCAGTGTTTCTGCAGAGTTGGCCTCTCCAGTCACCTCCTCTTCTGGAGGTTGTCCAGCTTTTCCATATTTCTTCCTACACCTCCATAGCATTGTCCTCTCCTCAGTAAAACTCAGCAGAATTTTGAGAAATTATCTTTCCTTCCACAACTTGGGTTAACTTATTCAATCCTTTCCAGTCCTGTATTCCTCATTCTGCCTGACAGCTCCCCTCTGATTAGGAGCAAATTAGTGCTTATTAACTTTCTAAAATGTTTTTCAAAACATTTCAAGACCAGGAATCAACACAAAGCTCTGAAGTGATTGGATAGAGTGGTTTGATTTTGGCCCATGATTCACTAAGAGAAAATCCCTTTCCATTAGTAAGAACATTTCCCTGTAGAAGCCCAGCATTTCTTGTGCTGCATGAGTTTGCAGATGATTAGAACAAGAAAGACTTGTGGATTTTCTGGTTTTTTCTCCTGCAAATCTAATCCTAGTAAATCTTAGCATTCCTTCTCAAAGTAACCTTAGCTACAAATGCTTCACTGGAGTCAGACAACATTAATATTTATAAAATGTATAACTTGTGCACGTTATAGAGAGTGCAAACTGTTTTGCCTTTGAAACACACCAGACTTTTGGTTTCTGACCATTACTGTGTATCTTCAGATCAAACCACATCTGTGTCTTTAAACATAAAACCAGAGAATTCAGAAACGGGAAAGGCCTTTCGAATTGACTGACTCTCACTGCAAATTCAAGTTGCAATCCTTGGAAAAGAAGACTCTGATGTGAATGTGATGCTGTTCTTGATACTTATGCAAAGGTTTATTAGACAAGGCAAACTTTTATTACAGGTGCATGTCAGAAGCGGAGTTTGACTGTGCTGTAGCTTCATACTATAATCTCAAATAACACCTCTTCCATTCTCTTAGTGTTCAAATCTAACTGCAAGCTAACTAAAACATCTTAGCATTGCATCCACATTTCATATATCTAATCCACCAGGTCTTTAGACAAGTCACAAAAGCATCTTTCCGGTGGCATTCATGAAAGCTCCTCCAGAAATGAATTGCCTCTGTGTAGTCCCCAAAGATGCTGGTTAAAGCCAAGCATAGCTCATTTGCATCAGCCCTGTGATTAATGTTTCCTTCCTGTTTCAGCCTCAGACAGGAGCCATAATTGTGCCTCATTTGACTGAGTTGATGGCTGTTGGACTTAACATGTTGAGGGAGGGAAGATCACTTCCACACTGGAATTTTTTTGGTTTTGCATGCTCAGCAGAAATTTGACGTGACTGATCCCAAAATCTCATTTCTCTCCAGAATGATGTGAGCAAGCAGTACCTAAACTTTCAGTGCCACAATAAAAGCAGTAGAAAGAGTAAACACTGAATTCAGAAATAGTCACTTCTGTTTTTTTCTGACGGGCTTTTATGTGATACAGCTGTAATAGATCCTATTTTACTTTTACATCTGTTTAACTACACCAAACATGGTAACTCCCTATCTGCCAGTGTATGATTTATGCCCGTGCAAATATGGAGAAAAGCAACAATTCTTAGATTACTGAGAAAGTGCTGTGGGCCAGCAAGCAAAATCTGCTTTTCCTCCAGGGCAGATGGAGTTTTGCAAGTCTGCAGTCAATCCAACAGAGATTATTACGATTTCTCTTTGAACAGGACATGAATATCCCTTTGGAATTACAATGAGCCACATTCGTGACGCTATGCCCCACGGATCAAAGCACTGTGCCTGCCCCAGGCAGCTTCAGGGCCCTTTCTTGACGGAGCAGCTGCCCCAGGAGCTGCAGTGCCAGTTTGTGCTGAAGCCCAGCCAGGTGGCCGTGTGCCAGCAGCTGAACGGTACGTTGTCCTCTCACCCCACGTCTCTCCCCACAGCCTGGCCACCTGGCTCTGCTGCAGAAGGCAAATGTGCCGGGCTGGGGCGCAGTGGGAAGCGCAGAGGAGCGTGCAGGTGTATCTTCCAGCTGCTCGGGGGCTTTTGCAGTGTAGCTCTCACTGATCTGAGCGTGCTGTTGTATATGTGTCATCTTTGTGAGTTACATTTTGACAAGCTGCCTGTCAAGTGATTGTTCTAAAGTCAGCAAAAGAAAGACAGAATCTCTCCCCTGCAATTTTTGTGAGTCTGTTAGCTGAGCTTCTCTCTGCAGCCCTTGCTGTGCTCTGTGACAAGGCAGGGTGGTTTCACGGTTCAAGAGTCAAGGCTTTGGCACAGAATTCCCATGCAACATTTGGCAGCGTCCTTCATCTCAATAAGGTGCTTAGGACTACCCTCTACCTCACTGGGATCCTCAAGTGCCAAAGTCTGGGCAGGTACTTGGATACTTAGATGAGGTGAGCGAATAGAACTTTATTTCAGTGCTCTTTGAGTAAAATAAAGTAATATTTTCTTCTGCCTTTGGCCTTGATGCTGCAAAAATATGAGCACCTACTCTCCGTTTTGCACTCTGTTGTCAACGACACAATGACTGCGCTCTGCTCATGATAAAACAAATAAGGAGATAGTGACAGGATTGGGAATTTAGACTTAGGGCAAGGATACGTCCCATGGTGTGTTTTTGTTGTTCTTAACACACTAGCATTCTCAGCTTAATTAGGAACTCTGCCCTACTTCACCATTAATAACCATATCATAGAAAAAATAACATCCACACTGCTATCTTGGGCACTCCCCAATACTTAAGATCTCCCACAATATATGAATAGGAATAGAATCCATTTGTAATGGTTTTAGAAATTAAATACAGTGAAGCTATACCAGAGTCCACTACAAATTATTCTGGAAATTGATTATATTTTATATAAATTAATTTCCTTTCCACATGCATTCATCCACCCCCCTCCCAGTAATTTGTATCATATATTACTTCATGGCATATTTTAAGAATGAGGCAATCTAGCAAAGGGGTGTAATTAGGTTTACAGGCCCTGCTTTGGCAGCTGATGTTGACTGGCAAAAGAAAATAGAAATGCAAATCAGGCCTGTAGAGTTGTAATGCAGATGTGTTATCATCAGTGCTGTGCAAGCTGCAGGAGTGGAGTGAGCCTGGCTTGGGGCAGCAGAAGCCTGGGGCAGCCTGCAGGTCGTGCACAGGGACTGCACTAAATGGGAGAAAGAGGCTTTCAGTCCATTCACCTTTCCTTCTTTCATCAGACAAAACCTGTTGAAGTGATGTATAGGTGTAACTGCTTGAAAAGCAGGTCATCTCACATATAGTGCTGCTCCTTGTGCTTTTCCTGACGCTTTGGGTTTGGAAAATGGCAAAAATTACCTGCATGAAAGCCAAGGTTATTGTCTGGCTTTTGAGCTTCAAATCAGCAAGCCAAAATCTGGGTTGGGTACCCACTGGGCACACTGCCACATACAGGGTGAATTTACAGAGTAAATTCAGCATCTGTAACCCCACACTTCACTGCCACATGCTGTGCTGTCCTCCCTGCCATCACTTCCCTGCAGTGGGATATCACTGTGCTGGACATGCTGTCCCTGCTGGAGGCAGCAAGGAGCAGCTGCCCCGCTCCACCAGTGTGCACCACGGTGGGACAGCAGTGTAGGTGCTGACAGGCAGGCATGACTGACAGCTGGCCCTCATGTCAAGTTAGTGGCTCTGTGGACACCAAATGTGGTGGTGTAATTGCATCAGCTGTCCTGGCAGGATGGTTAAAACAGTACAGGAGAGTTTTCTGTGTGGAAGAAATGGAGTGTTTCTGTTGCCTCTGCTGTGGCCTTTCAGCATGTAACAGGAATGGTCACCTACCAGTTAAACATAGCCATTAAATTATGCTCATGAGCACGTTGTTAAATAGAGCTGAAGATTTATTTAGAAGTTTCTGATTAGTTTCAAGGAGAGGAAATGCCATTTCCATGGCTAGGACATTAACTATGACTAGACATTCCATTCATATAAAATATGAGCAAGAAGGGGTGGCTGCTGTGAGCTCTGACCAAAATTTTCCAACAAACTGGTATTACCTTTTTCTGATTCTGGCTTAGAATAATCCACCAGAGCAAGGCCATGCAGTCTTTGTGTGGAAGTACTTCTGCAGAGCAATAATTGGCATCTGTCTTGGCTGAGATGAGTCTGGCCTTTTCCTAGTATTATAACTTTGCACAGGTTCAAGGAAAGAAAGTGAACACCCACCCCTTCTCATCTCCTCTTCAGCTTAAGGCTTGTGAACATCCTTAAAAAAGGGGTATGAAAACTATGAGTTTTCCTATTTTTCAGTGAATGTTAATTTTTAAGTAACAGGGCAATTCATTGCCACACATCAGTTTTTGGCTTCTGCCCTGGTGTGCTGAAGAACACTTGCTAAGATTTCCTTCCTGTCCCAGGAGAGAGCTGCAGTTCGTTGCAATGACCCCTTCACATTCTCAGTTTGAGACATGGCTTTTAAGGGAGGAACAATCAGTAAGAGACTGAGAAGAGTTCCTAATTTTAAAACTCTTTTTTTTCTTCACTTCTGCTATTCCTTGTTCTCCAAAATAGCATCTTAATTTTTGCTTCCACTGAGACCTACAGGGTGTACAGAAAAAAACACCAGTATGTTTTGCCATTGTGTCACTAGAACACTGGCAAACCTTCATTTGTGAAGCAAACCTTATTCAGGTCAATATCTAGCTCATCTGAAGGAAAAAAAATCATTTTGAAAGTTACAGGTCAGTTATGGTGTCCCAAAACATGATGTGCCAAGTAAAGCCTAGACACTGCCAGACTTACATTTCTTGAAGCTTTGGACTGCTTAAAATGTATATCCTCATTATTTTTTATGAAAAGAATTTTTCTTCAGGCTTTTACATTCATATGTTCACATTTTGAGTTAAACTGTAACTTTTCATCCTGTAAGCGTCTAATGAAAAGACTTCCACCCATTCCCAGAGGGAGCATGATCTGGAATGGAATGACCTATAATGAAAATCACTCTTTGAGCTAAAAACCAAATTCTAATGAAGTATAGGAGAGAATAAAGTATTGGAGAGAAAAATCTGGTATTGTACCACAATTCTTAACTCTGCAAGACTTGGTTCTGGCCTCCACAACAGCAGAAATTAAAATGTTTGGAAGAACCAGCTAATTAAAAGTGTGTATGGGGTAGGCAAGCAACTAAATCAATGCTGATTGGCTTTGAAAACATCTCAGAAAGGAAAATTCTATCAGAATAAGTTTTTCCCAGTTAACACTTCTGTCTTAAACAGTCTGCACTCCTTTTCTCTTTAGCAGTAACCCATGCTGTTAGAAGATGTCACAGTGGCTGATGTTGAGAAAGGTCATATAAAAACCCCCTTTTTGTGTCCCAGTAGCAGTATTTCCTTCTCTCCAGCCTCCAAACAGGAGTTTCAGTTAGCACGCCCGCTTCGGTGTCTGATGAGGTTTGTTGCAATGGAGACAAGCAGAGCCCATCAGTGTGCTGGCAGCATGCTGCAATGCCATCTGGAAGGCACTCATTAAAGGGCAGGCACCATCCCTGGGCCATGGTCAGCAAATGCTTGGAGTGAGGACACTGATGATGCTCCTGCATTGTGGAGAAGAGAGCAAAGGCAGTGGCTTTTCCTGGTCTGAAAATGCCCCATCCCATTAGTGATTCTCTAGTGGTATTTGTGGGGAGAGTCTCCCACATTGTCAGGAGAACTGGGATCACCCTGGACAGCATGCTGAGGTGAGGGCAGTGGATTTATCCCTGTGGGTGGAAAATGAGTTATTTAGCAGAGTGCAGCTGTGTGAAGTCAGCAGGCTGAGGTTTGCCATCCTGCACTTGGTGGAGAGTGCTGACATTGCTCCAGCAGTGCAGGGCAGATCCTGGTGATTCTCTTCGGGGCATGAGTAAGGTAACACATTCAACACATACACACACACAGAGGTATGTACATGGGGGATTAGGCTTAGCTGGATGAAAGGAGTTGGTTAGTTCATGACATTTTTTCCTTTGAAACCATAGCAACCACCAAAACCCAAATACTGGAACTAGAATTGAAATGCATTTCTCATAATAAACACCTTTCTCTTTCCCCAGACTTAAGCCAAAAGTCATTTAAAAGGAAAAGATCTATCATAAATTGGGCTTTTTGGCGTGGCCCAGGCACTCACTTGGACAATGCACCCCTCTCCTCAACATCTGCTGCTCCTGGGAAGCTCTTTGGCCTCTTACTAACAACCATCTGTGAGGATGACAACCTGCCCAAACCCCTCTTGGTGAGTCCCAGGCTCAGGGTTGGGTCTTACAGTGGTGGAATTTCTCTGTGTAGTAAATGAAGATATGTTTGTAAATGGGGCATTGAAATTACCCAAGCAAAGAAACCAGAAAGATTTCCGTAGGGAAACCTCATTTGTGATTCCCAGCAAGAACTTTGATTTTTTACATATACTGTGGTCAGGCCCAGTTAATAACAGCTTGAGAAATGCATGTGATCAGTCTGCTGCTCTGGGCTATTTCTCCTTTACAGCCCATGCTATAAGGCTGGTTCCCTAATCCTCACTTACACAGTGTAAATAAATGCCACATTCACACATACTTTTTAAACCACTCCCAAGATCCCTGTAAAATCCCCACATCCATAAATGTCTCATCTACTGTCCCATATAGGCAGCCCACGCATGCATAAAAATGCCACCTGCCCATAACTAGGCAATTCCAGAGCCCTTCTTGAAGTCATTCCGGGGCAGGCAAGCACTCCTGAGTCCTCATTTTTGGTCTGACAGCACCACTGCAAAAAAATAGGTGGGAATGTGGAGACTACAGTAGCATCTTTTCATCCTGTCTTGAGGGAGCTCTTGTGCTGTGGGTGCTCTCAAAATCAGCCTAGGACCAATAAAAAAGTTGTCCTAGAGCCCATTCTTAGGCATAATTAAGGCATGTACGTGGAATTTTTGGTCATTAGAAGGCCCTGTTGTCAGTACAGCAGATGAAGTATTTACAAAGTGGGAATGAGCCCTGCAGGATTCGGCCCTTCATCCTGACAGCCTGACTTCTGGCTGGGAGGAACTGCCAGAACCCCACTGAAATCAGTGGGGTCATACCAGTGTAAAAGAAGAGATGTTCTGTCTCCTAAGACAGGTGCTTGATGTGCTGCTTTATCACTGCCTGAATAGTGAATCATACCAGGATGTTCCAGGTCTTTTAATCATGTTTTCTTTTGAAGGAGAAGCGTGCATTTTCATTATTTAGATTATTTAAATAAGCCCTCCAGAGATGGACTCTGTGTGGCTATGATCCCCTGATCTGTCCTTCTCTCTGTTTAAGAGATGAGCCAATGCTGCATTTCAGAAATTTCTCCAAAACATAAATAATAGTAAATTTTTATTTGAAAAAAATCCCCAAAGTTACTAAGCATGGAATCACAGCTTGGTAGACTTCGTGCTTTGAATTTTAAACATTGTGTTTATACCACAAATAGAACTTCTGAATTCATTTAGCATCTCTGGAGAATAGAATACTGGAGATCTGAATGGGATTTACCTGCAAGAGAATAAATAGCAGGGATGAATGCTGCAGGCATGCTGGATAACTGCTTCAGAGCTTCCAGCTTGCTTTCACAGCTGAAGAGCTCTCTTTTAGCCATTGCCACACTGAATTGTCTTGCACCATAGCTTCATTCATGCAATTCCATCTGGGTTTGTTAGTTTAATAGGGGCTTCCATTTTTATCTTGTGAATATTTTGTTCAAAATGTATTTTGAAAGGGTTTGTTCGTGTGCTAACATCCTCTACTGTGGGACTCAGCCTGTTTTGATGGGAGAGCTCTAAACTCCTGCAAAGAGAATGAAAATGCTGACATGAGTCCTGCTGCCATGAAGGTGCTCCTCCAAAGCATCTGTACTTCCATTAATTCTTGATCTTGGACTTTTGCGAGAGTGAGAAAGAAACATGAAAGAACAAAAGCAAAAGTAATGGCTTCCATTAGACTTATTTGCTCTGCTGTGTGGCAGGAAGACCTACCTAACAGCCCAGACTAGGAAAGTCCCCAAACTCCATTCGTTATCCATTACTGTTCACTAATTCAGTTTAATGATGATGGACCAGTGTCCCAGGACCCCCCCTCCATGTCCCTTTTCTTGCCATCATTTTTGATAACTTGGTCCTCAGGCCACTGTGTGCATACAGATAATCCCAGAGGTTGTCTGCACGTGTTTCCCCTTTCCAAGAGATGACCATGACAGACTCCACATTGCTTGGAGCAGGCCTGCAAGAGTTGACCTGCATGTCTGAGAGGTGGCCCTCAGGAGACTGCAGAGAACTAAGCATCTGGCAAATATCCTGAACATGTTATCTCAGGAGAAGTTTCAGCATTTCTTCTTTTTCCTTGTTTTCCTCTTATGGGAAATCTGCTTGTTTTCCCTTCTCTGTAATAAGCTGTCTACTTGTTTAATCCTATGCAGCCTCACTTGCTTCAGGGAAGCCACAAGCTGAGCTTTATCCCTCTTGGAGTGACCTCCCAAGCAGGAGCACCTTGCCTCAGAACTGCTTCTGCTGACAACTCTGAGCTGCTTGCAGAGTCTGAGACTGCTCACAAGCAGCAAAGGAGTAAAAACCTGACTCTGATCAGCTGTAGAAGTGCAGATATATATTAACAAACAAAGCACTTTCTAGTTTAGATAAAAATCTCCTTTTTTCATATATCAACAGTGAAACAGAATTCTATCTGTGGTTGGTGATAATATTAACTACAATGATGAGCAGTGAGGGTCTCATACCTTTCTGCAAAGCAGTGTCTGGCTGAGGCCACTGTCAAATGCAAAGCTTTGAATTAGATAGACCACTCTCCTTTTCTCACACCACAGCGTTTATATGTTTAAATGACTTGGCTGAAACTTGCACAGGTCCTGAAGAAAGTGCTGGACCTGCAAGGTCATGAAGAAAGTGCTCAGCAGTGGCAGCACAGTATTTCTGAAGGGATGTTGTCCAAAATGAGAGCCCTAAATCCCAGCTTTGCTGTGCAGTTTGGCATGGTTTGGAGAGTGAGCCTTGACTTGTGTTGGATTTCTGATATTTTTTAGGACTAAAAGGTTTTCAGCTGTGACAAAAATGGCAAAACTGCATTTTAGTGGCACTGGACAATAAAATATATTTATGGGAAATCCTCTTTGCCTTTTTAATTTTTTTAGGACATGCTTTCCCTCCTTTACCAAGAGGGGCCTTCCACCAAAGGTATTTTCAGACGCTCCGGAAGTGCAAAAACGTTCAAAGAGCTAAAGGAGAAGCTTGATTCAGGCACTGAAGTGGACCTGGCCCATGAATCCATATTTGTGACAGCATCTTTGTTTAAGGTATGTGAAGAATGTTCCTGTCTCTCTTTTTGGGTGAGAGCAGCACAGATCCTGTGCTCAGCCAGGGAGAGCTTTTTTCCAGGGACAGGCCCAAAGAGGAAAGAATTAACAAGAAGGGGATGGCACATTAACCTTGTGAGGGTCTCCACAGGAGGCTACCACTGATTTAGGATGAGGAAGAGGAGTAGCCAGCTTGTTTTGCTGACAGCATTTCTGAGGTCTGTGCTACAGCCTGGTCCTTACTCTCTGCATATGAAATACTAAAAGGCACGTTTGCAGACCAGTCCCCTTGCACATCAGTACTACCCTACACTGCAAATCCTAGTGAGTTTATAGTGTTACCATAAGTATTTTGATTATTTTCTCCATGCGTTATACAGTCTTGTATGTCAAAGCCAATGTTCCTTGTGTAAACAAAGCACCATAGCTTCCCTCACCCTAGCTATTTTGGGAAGCTAGAATTTGGCCCTCTTCCTAAACTGCAACAATTTCCATGCTCATGGTTGAAGTGTTAGGAAAGAGGAATTGCAGGACCATCAATGACTAGTTTGAGTACTCCATTGATTAGGGGAGGAAGGGTAGTGATGCCTTGGAGTGCTTATAATCTGGAGGTATTTGAGCTTGTCAGCTGAGGAGAAGAAACAGGGACTACAGATGAAGTGAAGTGATAAGACAGACATTATGCAACATCAAAATAACTGGCCTCACTGCAGATTTTATAGTACAGCAATGTCAGATGAAGCATTCAAATACATCTATTTGACAGGAAAAGGTGGAGAAAGGCCAGAAAATAATCACTTTAAGCATAATCTAAAGTGCCTCTACCTCAGATGATTTTCTTCTGGTTTTGGTGGTTGTGTGTAACAATGTACTTGCCAGCGAGTGCTGTCCTATTGATACATCCTCTTGTATCTGTGTATCTTATTCCTATTCCCTCACCTGCCCCAGAACAGCTGCTCACATGTTTTGTTCTTCTTTTCTCTTGATAAGGATTTTCTTCGCAACATCCCAGGCAGTATTTTATCATCCCATCTGTGTGATAAGTGGGTCTCTGTGCTGGATCAAGGAAACAATGAGGAGAAGATAAAAAGCATCCAAAGGTATTTATTTATATTCTCTACATTCTTTTCCTATAAATGTATATCCCAGAATGCAGAATCACAAGTATTCAACTTGCAATTATATTTTTTTTAACAAGAACAAGAACATCTCTTTGATGCCCTCCCTGGTTTAATTAGTGGACCACGTTACCCTGTTTCTGCATTTCCATTATTTTGACTTGTGTATATCTAATGAAAGTGGTCACTAATGTGAAGATTTCTGTTTTTATATGTTTTCAGGTTACTAGAGCATCTCCCGAGAGCTAATGTTGTTCTCTTGCGTTACATCTTTGGAGTACTGCATGGAATAGAAATGCGATCTGAGGAGAACCAGATGAATGCCTTTAATCTAGCTGTCTGCATTGCACCTAGCCTGCTCTGGCCTCCTGTATCCTCCACTCCTGATATAGAAAGTGAATTTATTAAAAAGGTGAGAAAAAGGTGTTTTCACCTTTTAATAAATGTTTGCTGTTTTCAGTGTAGCAGCAAACCAAACCAACCTTCATCCCATTCAACCAGGCTGTTGGTTGCAAACATGAGAACACTCAGTACCTCTTCAAATCAGGACTTGTCCTCTTATCAGGGCTCCAGCAACATCCATCAATCCATTCTCATAACCTTCCTGGAAGAAGGGGAGAGAGGTCATAAAGCAATGCCCAGTGTATCAGCAAAATGCTTCTCTCATGAAGATCTCTGGTTGTGGTGACCTTGGAACAGGACAGAGTAGAATGGAAAAGATGTTTACAAGGATGTGTACCAGGACAGTTTATCGGGCCCAGGAGACTGAGAGAGTAGTTCCTGGCTGCCTCCATGGATGGCAGTTTGCTCCTGTTCCTCATCTGTATGGTGAGCTTGTCCTGAGTTGAGTAATAGAAGATCTGATATCTCTCTCCCATTGCTTTGTTGCAGATTTCTAGTCTGGTACAGTTCCTCATTGAGAATTGCTGCAGGATTTTTGGAGATGAAATTACCTCCCTCTTTGGAGAAATACTGATGACATGCAAGAGAGAGAACAGCTCAGGTAATGCAGATTGATGTTTTGATCCCATTAAGACAGATAAACTCAGCCAGGCAAAAGATCAGTATATTCCATGGAAGAATGCTGTTCCTTCTTCATGTGGTGCTCCCACATGATACTCCTGTTCTCTTTCCATTCAATTCCCCAAAGAATTGGTCATAATCACTGATTCAGCTTACCATAGACCTGGATCATATCACAAAATGCTTTCACTCTTGCTCCTATACCGATCATCTGAACCACTATGGTTAAAAAAGGAGGGAGGGGAAACAAAGAAAACAAAAAAAGAAGAAATCTAGTGAAGGTTTACTCTCAAATCTAACCTGTGTTTTCCCAAAATATCAGGAGGTCAGTCATCAACAATGGTCATAATACAGCTGTCACACCATTACATTAGGGTTGAAAGTGTCTGTTCACTACCAAAAGAGAGAGATCTCCAGAGTTTCAATGGGACATCCAGATTTTGCTGCTAGCACAGAAAAATCATGGAACTGGGGACTGAAAGTGTTTGACAGACTAGCTGACAGAGTTTTCCAGATTATCATTAATGCTTTTTTACTCTCCAACCCTCTGATTTTGACTGGAGTTTTGTGTCTCTCTTAAAGTATTTCTAAAGCAGCATTTTTTGTAAAATAAATTTTGTCACAGGTGGCCTGTACTGAAAGTGGTAATGGCACTTGTGTCAGCATGTCTGACTGACTGTGTGTGGCTGTTTCAAACTCCTCATGCTCTGCCTCCAGAGAAACTGGGTGAAATTTGGCCTGCCCCCTCCCCAGGAGGGAAGCACATGGGATCTGCTGTGCTGGGATGTGGTGGCAGTAAGAGCTGAGACCCACGACAGGTCACAGCAGCTGAACGAGCTTTCAGGCAGGCACTGAGGTGTGGTGACTGCCCAAGCATGAACTATGTCTGCTGCAAATGTGAGATAAGGCAGCTTAGCCTAACCCAGAGCAAAAGAAATTTAATGTAATTCCAATTATTGCAGGTACAGGATAGGGGCCAGGTGTGCACTGCTCAGTGCAAATGAGGTGGCTGTTTAAGCTGAGCCTAAAACTTCACAGTGTTGCTCTTAAAAATATTGTATTTTCTGGAAGAAATAGAGGTAAGCAGTATACTCTATTATCTTCATTTGTCTAAAAGAAGGATAGAAAGAATGTTGTTTTCAGTATCCAATAATGAAAAGAAAAAAAATAAATTACCAATATATATATACCATATATGTATCTATGTATATAAATTCTTGTTTACAGCTGGATTAGCTACTATCCACTTAAAAAAACCAAACCAAAGCAAAATCACAACAAGAACCCCCTAACTCTTACTTGTGCCATTATCCTGTATTTCTTGACTGAACAGTAGCTTAGTACTCACTTCAGCTTCTCCAGTTCAATATTAAGAGAGTAATTTTTTATTAAATTATTGGTACTTGTGCTTGAAGAATCTTTAAAGGGCAAATGCTCCTGAAAGTAAAGGATACTTGCCAGAAAAATAAAAAAGCAAACCAAAAAGAAGCTGCTTGTCAAGAGGGTGGTTCAGTCACTGGTGTGTTAACACTTGGTTTGTCCTTGCAGATGTTGCTTCTCTCCATCAGAATGACTCTTCCTATGATAGCCTGGAAAATGAGGCAAATGATGAAGCTGACTCTTCCTCCAGTGACTGGATTAAAACCCGTGATCAGGATTACAGAAGCAGGGAGTCTGTCTTCACTCTGAGCGATGGCGATTCGGAGCAGACAGAGGTGGATGAAATCCAAAGCCAAACCAAACTGAAGCAGTTGGAAATTTCTGACGACGCACACCCGAAGTTTTCCCTGCAAGAAAACTCAAACGAGTCTCGCTACTCCAGTGGTTTCCCCTCAGCAGCTACCTCGGGTGCTCCCAAGACTGTGAGGAGGCACCGGCGCTCCTCCGAGCCTGCGGTTGGCCTGCAGAGCTCCAGCTCCGCCCGCGCCGCTGCCGGGCGCGAGAAGGCAACGCGCAAAGCCAGCTGTGACGTTGTGCTGTCCCACGGAGATGAAGAGTGTCTCTGCCAGCACCAGTCATTGCAGGTGGAAAGGCAAAAGCTCAGCAATCAGAGCTTGCTTGTAGGGATTGACGTTGGTAAAAGTGACAGCACAAACAAAAACGTTGAAAGGAAAGACCTGTTTCATTGTCTCCTGCCTCCAACGCCAGAGGGATTAAATACTTGCTCAGGATTTAGCTCTTTTAGCCAGTCTTCTTCTGGGACATCTCCATCTGTGTCATCAATTTGCTCCCTGGACAGTGCTTTCTCCCAGTTTTCAGACCAGGCTCTGTTTACCTTAAGTGAAACCTCCTCCCCTTTCGATAGCGCTTTCCAGTTGCTAAAGAAACACGAGGACGCTGCTGCTGCTGTGGCTGATGACTGTTTTCTGCCACCCACCGCAGTGCCACCATCTCCACAACCTACTGACACTGGGGCTGAGAGGGGCTTGGTGGGGCCCAGCAGCAGGTCAGCACCCCTGAAACCTACTGATGGAGTCGATGGCTGTTTCATTAATCCTGACCTTCAGCCATTGCCTCTGAAAGTCACTGGGAGAGATGGACTTCACGATCAAAGAGGTGGTCTAGAAAGGCATTACAGCAATCCAAAGTTTGAAGAGACTGACCAAAGCTTTTTGCAGAGGAATCTTAGTGCTTAAAATAAACACCATAAAGAAAATGCCTTTGGTGTTGATGTGTGTTCATTTTAAGTTTAACATCCAGATTGTTCAAATTTAATTGAGCAGTCCCTGGACTCAAGGTTTTCTTTTTTTAGGAAACCGAGTAATGTTCCAATATAAAGCTTTGCAGGAGCATTGCAGGAATAATAAAAATTGCTGAGAAGCAAGCAGAAATCTCCTGAAAATCTGGAAGGGACCCAGGAGGTAACTAAGGCCAGTGTCCTGTTCCCTGACCCTGCGAGGGCAGCGGGCTGCCTGCTGGGCCTCTCTCCTTGACCACTCGAGTGTTGAGCCTTGAGATGTGAGTCCCAGTCCTTTGTGCTGTTGATGTAGCGTGCAAAGTCAGCATAGCTTCCATAACTGTGGTATTATACTACTGTTCTGAAACTGATAAATATGACCTTCATTGTCCTCCAAGGAGTAAGTGTGTTGTTTTCTGTATGTTTATACAGTATGTTCGATAGGTGTAGTTATTTCTTTCATGCTGCAAAAGAAAGAAAAAAGTAAGCCCAAAAATATGTAAAGGGAAATGCTGAATCTTGTAACTAACACCTTGCAACTCTGTGTTTCATTTATTGTGCTTTGTTGGCTGTTCTGTTCATGTTTAAGTTGTGAATAGTTTCTTAACATTGCTGTAAATGGCATTATGTATTATTGCAAGCAGAACACGTGTAATTTTATTATGCAACATCTAAAACATAAAACCACAGAATGGATTGGGTTGGAAAGGACCTTAAAGATCATCCAGTTCCAACCTCCTGCCATATAGACAGGGATACCTCCCACTAGACCGGGTTGCTCAGAGCCCCATCCAGCCCAGCCTTGAATACTTCCAGGGATGGGGCATTCATAACTTCTTGGGGCAACCTGTTCTAGTGCTTCACCACTCTCTGAGTAGAATTTTTTCCTAATCTAATCCTGTTCTCTTTTAGTTTAAAACCTTGCCCCTTGTCCTGCCGCTATCTGACCATATAAAAAGTCACCTCCCTTCTTTTTATAAGCCCCATTTTTATAAGCCCCCTTAGCAGAAGGCCTAAGTGAGGTGTTCCTGAAGCCTCCTCTTCTCCAGGCTTAACAATTCCAATTCTCTCAACATTTCCTCACAGAAGAGGTTTTCCTTTCCTCTAATGTTCTTTATGGTCCTTCTCTGTACTCGCTCCAGCAGGTCCCTGTCCTCCCTGTGCTGGGACCCCAGAGCTGAAGCAGCCCTGCAGGTGGGGTCTGAGCAGAGCAGAGGGGCAGAATCCCCTCCCTGGCCCTGCTGCCCACCGCTGGGTGCAGCCCAGGACACGTTTGGCTCTCTGGGCTGTGAGTGCACACTGACAGCTCATGGCCAGCCTCTCACCCTCCAGCACCTGCAAATCCTTCTTGGCAGGGCTGCTCTCAGTGAGTTCTTCTCCCAGTCTGTACCTGTGTCTGGGCTTGTCCTGACCCAGGGCAATGTGCAGCACCTTGCACTTAGACTTGTTGAGCCTCCTGAGGTTCTCATGGGCCCACTTCTCAAGTTTGTCCAGGTCCCTCTGGGTGGCATCCCGTCCTTCTGTTGTGTCAACTGCACCTCTCAGCATCCTGTCACCTGCCAGCCTGCCGAGGGTGCACTCGGTCTCACTGTCTGTGTCCTACATCATATAATATATTGGAGTAATGCATTATCTAAATGCTTTGAGTTTGTATAATATATCCTGTTAAATTTTGCTATTATATATGTTCTGAAAAAAAATGTGTATTTTTGTACTTGCAAAAAACTGCTGCTAATTTTACAAGTTCTGTTTTGTTGTTATGGCACTGGTATTGATGTGTATGCATTCAATGCTATATATTAAATATTATTTGTTATGTCATAAATTCAGTTTATATTCCGTGGAATTTTTTTTATGTGTCAGTTCTACAAGCTATTGCTGAAGCAGAATTCCCTATGATACCACTGCAAATCTTGTGTGAGAAAGGACTGAAGCATTTTTCTTCCTACTGCACGTCATCATCCCATTGATTTTTGTAAGTTCTAGTAATTCTCAAGCAAGAATTCCTACTCTTTGCCTCTTCATCTACTGGTAGGACGGTGTTTTCAACTAATGGGATTGAGTCAACAATATGGAGGTGAAGAGAGATCTCATGGGATAATACCTATTAGGATTGGGAACAAGGAAAGGAGTGGAGTAAACCAATGAATGAGAGCAAGATTTATTCTTTAATATTAGCAGGTTCTTCTTTTTCATATTCAGCTGTTTTAATGACAACAGTGGTATGCAGAATCTGATCTGTAACAGTCATCTTCCAAAGGTAAAATTCTTAGTATGCATTCTGAGACCTGTCATCTAACAGCCCTACATATACACCTCCTTCAAAACAAACAAAGAAAAGACTGGTTGACGTGATGCTATTTTGAAATAAAACAGCTACTCTGCATTTCCATTTCTTTTCAAAACAGTAAAAAGCATATTGCCATGCTGCCAAGATTACATTGAGTAGCAAATACTGATTCATTGCATCAATAATAAAGCTTTAGAAAATCTCTAGTCTCTGCAACATAAATTTTCTGTCCTGCAAACGGTACCTTCCTGCAAGTCATTTATCCCTGCTGTCTGAAAAAAGAGTATATCAAAGTGTGCTTCGATGTAAAGTGAGCTATGTGTCTGCATTTGAGCAGTAGCTAATGCTGGAGTGATTTCAGCTTTAAATGTACGGCAGACAAGCTGGATGTAGACCCAGCACAATTTGAAATGCACTTGTTCTTACAAGGCACACACCCTGCTGCTGCACGAGGCGTGTTCTGTGGCAATCAGCAAAAAGAGCCCTAATGGGGAAAATCACTGTCTGCAGCACCTCTGGGCTGCGAGCACACAGTGAAGGAATTAAATGCTGCTAAGACCCAACATGGATCGTACTGAACCTTTTTAGAGTGTCAGAGGCAGCTCTGAGCACTGCAGTAAGCATCCCCCTGGCTCTGCTGTGGGTCTCCTACTCGGGCTCCAGGTGGATTTCTGCATCCCCATGGATCTCCGTGGGCTGCAGGGGCACAGCTGCCTCGCCATGGGCTGCTCCAAGGGCTGCAGGGGAATCTCAGCTCCGATACCTGGAGCACCTCCTGCCCCTCCTCTGCACTGAGCTGGGAAGCTGCAAATCCATCCCTTTCACATATTCTCACTCCTCTCTCCAAGTGCCAATGTGCATTTTTTCGCCTTTCTTTAACCCTGTTATCCCAGCTGCTGGGCTCAGCCGTGACCAGCAGTGGGACCATCTTGGAGCAGGCTGGCATTGGCTCTGTTGGACACAGGGAAGCTTCTGACAGCATTTCACACACACACATCCCCCCACACCCCCACATTCTCCTGTAGCCCCCCGCTACCAAAACCCTGCCATGTACATCCAATGCATTCTGTGAGAAGGTGGTGGGCTGGAGGTGGCCCCGAGCACTGAGGCCCCTCTTCTGCCCTGGCTCCAGCTGAGTGTCCCCCTGCTCACTGTGGGTCACCTGTCTCCATAAATTCCATGTAAGCCCATCTCCATGAACTAGGGTGGCTGCTTTGGAGGAGCTGCTCAAGTTTTTGTGACAAATGGTGGGTCAGATGTTTCCCAAACGCTTACTTCTTTGGTGAAGTACCAAAACCTCACAGAAAAAAACATAAAATAAAAAGATGAGTGAGTTAGGGAAGAAACAGTGTCTGTGACTTCTCATTTACTGCTGTCAAAGACAGAAAATGAAGCAAACTGACAAATTACCTCACTACTTGGACTTTCTGTCCCACAGGGGTTAATGTTCTCACTGTTAATGAGCATCCTGCCTCTCTTTCACAAGTGCTAGCCATCATTCCTTTCAGGTAATTTCAGAGATTACTATAATGTAAATTTAGAGCAATTTGTTCTCAGCCTACTTTGAAGGTTTTTTTCAGTTTTTTGGTTTGGTTGTTTTTTGGGGTTTTTTTGTGGGCTCTTCCATTGTTCTTCTTCAACCTCATAAATGCTATTGCTTCATCCCTGCAAGCTTTATCTCTCTAGCACAGCCCCATTCAGTAGAAGGGAAGACATGTACCATCTAATCCTTGTCTAAAGGACTTTGTAGAGTTCAAGCAAAATGGATTGTAGATCCAGGAAATGAAGCATGACCTTTAAACTGAAGGTGTCACTCTACCCAAAACTCTGAATCGCTGGACTTCTGTTAATAGCTGCTGTTTCACACCCTATTTTGTTCTGGGGACATATGTGGTCCCTGGACCTGGTGATTGACATCTCATTTCCAGTTCTACTCATTATCTACTCTATGATATTGGGCAAATTTATTTGCCTCCTCTGCTGCCTGTTTTGCACCACTTGTCTTTTCTCTAAGTATCCCGGTGTGCTGGGTCATGGTGATGGTTGGTGTTTCATCCCACCCTAAACATAGCTGTCCACCACGCACAAGCAGACACGGGGGCTGGGAGGTGGCTGGTGCTTTTGGGGACCACGTGCAGAAGTGCAATCACACATATGCACACGGTGAGGCTGCCATAACCCATGCAAACAGATTTGTTTCATGTCTTGCAGATGAACCTGTATATCTACAAAACATCCCAAACAATCTCACTGACTTGGGCCTATCAACTTCCTCTCATTTTTATCCATAAAAGCACTGAGGAATAGGGTAGTTCACTCTGGAAGGGGCCTTGGGAGTTGCCTGGTTCAACCTCTTGATTGCACATCCATGTAGTATCATAGAATCATATAATTGTTTAGGTTGGAAAAAACCTTTAAGATCATCATGTCCACAGCTAAACTACATCCCTAAGTACCACATCTACACATCTTTTATGTACTTCCAGATTGTTGACCAGCACCCCCAGGGCCTTTTCCACCAGGCAGCTTCCCAGCCACTGCCCCCAGCCTGCAGCAGTGCCCAGGGTTGTTGTGACCCAAGGGCAGGACCCAGCACTTGGCCTTGCTGAACATCATGCAACTGGCCCTGGCCCTTTGATCCAGCCTGTCCAGATCCCTCTGCAGGCCCT